GAGCCTCCAGTGGCTCTGCAGGGTGATCTGGATGTGTCCCTGCACAGGATCCTGTGCTCTGTGTTCCTGGGGAGCTGCTGGCACTGAACCTGCCAGGCAGCCAAGGTAAACCCCTGCTCTGTTCTCTGAGCAAGGTAAGGCAAACACCCGCAGCTTGAAGGGCCTTGGGTGTGGCACAGGATCCACCACAGAGCATTTTGAGTGAAAATCAGCATGATAAAACAAAAACAGAGCACACAGAAAATTATCTAAATGCAGTTACTGCTCAATACAAATTACTAATTTGAAGTCACCACTTATCAGCCATTTTGGGGACTCCACAGAGATTGGGAGAACTCCTGCATCAAAAACCTTAACGACTCCGAACAAAGTTTAAAACCAAACCCTCTGGAGATGGATGCATKATGGCAGGAATGGGATGACAGCACCTGGGAACTGAGACAAACTGTTATTAATGCCACCAAGCAAAGCTGCTTCAGCTCAGGCTCCCACGGACTGCAGAAGTCACTGTTTCAGGACTGCTTCTCCCTGTAACCATTTATTCTGTTTATTCAAAATTTGGAGTCCCCGTGGCCAGGACAGTGATAGCAGGGAGSAAGCATGAGGTACTGAGCAGCTCCTTCCCAGAATGATCCTGAGATAAACCCACCTGGCAGGAAGTACAAGATGCCCTGGGAACAAACCCACTTTTGCAAAGGAGAAAATTCTCCTTGGGAGGTCTCCTCAGGCAGCCCCATCCCAGGGGAGCACAGCAGCTCATCCAGAGTTCCTGACAGCCTGAGCACAAACCCAACTGCAGCACCAGGACCGTTTGTGTTCACACAGGAGCCCAGCCTGGACAATCCAGAGACCAAAACAGCTCAGACTGAGCAACTCCCTGCAGAGCCCCCAGACACGGTGGGGAGCTGAATCTTGGGGCCACCAGGGACCAGGGGAGTCAAAGGGAACACAGAGACACCACCGGGGCTGGTGAGGGACAGATGAAGCTGAGACAACAGCCCAGGACCAGAACGGGGGAGTTCATCTTTGGAAAAGGAAGATCCACAGTGCAAAGCACTGCCAAAGGCACAACCCGTGACATGGGAACCCCAGAGCAGCTGCAGGAAGCTGGGCAGGTGAACCAACCCACAAACCTCATCTATGGAGACAGGCTGGGAGAGCTGGGTGATGTTCAGCCTGGAGAAGGCTCAGGGAGASCTCAGAGCCACTTCCAGTGCCTAAAGGGGCTCCAAGGAATTTGGAGGGACTTTGAACAAGGGCCTGGAGGGACAGGGYAAGGGGGAATGGCTTCCCACTGCCAGAGGGGAAGGTTAGATGGGACATTGGGAAGAACTTCCCTGTGAGGGTGGTGAGGCCCTGGTGCAGGGTGCCCAGAGAAGCTGTGGCTGGCCCATCTCTGGAATTGTTCAAGGCCAGATTGGACAGGGCCTGCAGCAACTCGGTCTAGTGGAGGTTGTCCCTGCCTACAGTAGGGGACACAGATGAGATTTAAACTCCCTTCCAACTAAAACCCTTCTGTCATTCTGAGCAGCAAAACATTCAGAAGTAGTTTTTTTTTTCCTCAGGATGCTGCAGTGGAGTCAGAGCAGCCAGGATCCCCCTGCCCAAGAGTACACAGCCTGTATGGTGATGGGTGCCCACCCACAGCCCACACGTTATCCCTCTGCTCCTCCACCCTGGCTGGGCTGCAGGATGGATCCCTGTGGGGATCTGCACCACAGATTGGAGCTGGGGCTGCTGCCTTCCCCCAGCCCTGCAGCCCTTCCCAGTTGGGACACGCAGGGCAGAGCCCATGCCCACCCCTGTAACCTCTGTGCTCATCCCAGTGCAGACACAGCCACTCCACAGCCAGTTGGGACACGCAGGGCAGAGCCCATGCCCACCCCTGTAACCTCTGTGCTCATCCCAGTGCAGAGGCAATGCCTGTCCTCCATGTCAGGGGAGTGTATAATAAACTGTTATTATAACTGTCAGGGGAGTTTTGCMACAGGAGACAGAGGGACCCTCAGAAAGCAGCTTTATTTCCTAGTGGTGCCCCTGGAACAGGGATGGACAGGGCTGGGGCAGGGTGSRGCAGTGCTGGGTGCAGTTGGCACCMMCCAGGACCCTCCTGGGGCTGCAGGTGCTGGCAGAGGGGTCTGGCTCTACACAGGAGAGTGGTAGATTCTGTGTGTGGATCTSTCACCCTCAGCCACCATCACTCCACAGGGACACCCGAGGAGCTGCCCCTGTCACTGGGAGCTCCCAGGGAGTCCCCAGAGAGGCTCTGCCCGGACAGGGCACTGCTGAGGCTCTGCTGCCGGACAGGACGTGGCACCGCTTCCACCGCCACCTCCACCTCGATGGTGACASCTTCCCTGGAGACAGACACGGGCCTGAGGTGAGGGATCCTGTCCCTGCCCAGTGCAGGGAATGGGGGAGGTTTTGGGAAGGGATGTGCCACTCCCTCAGCCCCCTGTCAGTGCTGACCTGTCAGACACGTCCTGGCCCTCGCTCAGCATGCTCCCTGCCAGGGCCACCGTGCTGGCTGAGTGACTGTCCTGCTGCGGCCACTTCGGCCGAGGGCTGCGGCTGCTGCTGCCCAGAGAGGCTGCAGGGTCTGGAGCTCCATCCTCACCTGTCCTGGGGCTGGGCAGCACTGACCACAGCTCGTTCACTGCAGAGACAGAGACAGAGCACCCCGCTCCCAGAGCCCACTCTGCCGGAGCAGGGAGGGCCCAGCAGCTCTGGGGGACTCACGTTTGGCCAGGTTGTCCAGTTCCACCACGCCGAGCTCTCCGGGCGTGCGGCCGCCCCTGCAGCCCCAGCGGCTCCGGCACAGAGACAGCAYCACGGTCCCGTACACGTAGGTGAGCATCAGGGGCACACCAACGCCTGGGGATGGATGTGTGCTCACTGCCCAGCCCAGCCCTGGTGT